AATGAAAACACTATTATTTTAAATATAGAAACCAACACAAGTTAAGTTGCACTTATTTTCATTATCAAGCGTAGTTTCATCCTATTTAAGTTGGTAATATTAATGTACCTATCCATCTTATTATTTTAGGTACATTATAATGGTATTCCAAAAGAGCTTCTCTGTTAGAGTAGCTTCAATACCAAAACAATATTTATACCTGAATATCCAAATGGTACCTACGTTTGTATATAAGCATGACCATCCTTTTGAAAACAGACATCACTAAAAAAATCTTTTTGAGTTAAAAAGTATAATTCAAGAAGGTCGAGTGTTGCAAGCCGTTTCCTAATAAACGGTGTTCGTCAAAGCTTCGTAAATTATCCGAAAATTTGATTGAAAAACATAAGTTCCTAGAGTGGAAATTTAATTTGGATACATCTTTATCAATCTGTGATACGTGTCGCTTGAATTTAAATAGAATCGAACCATGTGCTGAAAATCTGGAAGTGCAACCGTCAGTCATGGACATCGCGGAGCCGCAGCCATCTACATCTCGACATGACCTCGAAGAAATACCATCAACTACGTCAATAACAACAGCATCATCTCAGGATAGTGGAGAGCAACAATTTTCCAGGACGCATAATATTGAGCTATTCAACAAGGGCATAGCTGGTATCAACGTATCGCCAATATCGACAAAAAAAAATCCAGAATGTTAACTATTCCCGGAGAAAGTATATGGACATTACCAATGGCATTAAGAAACGCATCTTCGGTTTTCAAGCGGAAGAAGATGACCTGGAGCAACTAAAATTGAAAGCTGCGGAACACAATGAGATGATCGGACAACTGAAGGAGAGATTTGCTGATCCAGGTTCATCGAGAGACGATCAAATAAGGATTCTGACGGTTTTGCCGAAATCTTGGTCAACGCAAACGGTAATGGACGAGTTTGAAACAAATAAATACATTGTATTGCAAGCTCGATGCTTGGCAAACGGGAAAGGAGTATTGGCCACCCCAAACAAAAGGTTAGGACACGGTTTGGATCCCGAAATTAAAAACGAGGTATTGCAGTTCTTCGAAAGCGACCAGATAAGCAGAGCCACGCCAGGACTAAACGATTACGTTTCAGTGAATAAGGAAGGTAAGAAGATTCATATTCAAAAGCGACTTTTAGTTTGTACATTGCGAGAAGCTTTTATTACATTTCAAGAAGTTAGTAAAAACAGCATTGGATTTAGTTCATTTGCAGCACTAAAACCAAAGCATTGCAAATTACTTGGTAGTTCAGGTTCTCACAATATTTGTGTTTGTACCATCCATGAAAATATTAATTTAATGCTTCATTGTCTTAGAAAATATTCATTCGAAAAAGATTTCAACCATTATTTTGAAGAAATATTATGCAGCTCATCATCCAGAACTAAACATTCTTATCTCCGCGAATGCGAACGTTGTCCAGGTCTATCAGATTTTGAAAGAAGTTTGTCAGAAAAATTCGAGGAACAGGGTATGTCTGAAATATGTTTTGAACAATGGGTTTCAACTGATCGATGTAGTTTAGAGAAACTTGTAAAACCAGTAGATGGATTTGTTCCTTATTTTTGCGAAAAGATGGATAAACTGGTATCACATGATTATATTAAAACTCAGCAGTCTAGTTTCTTGAGAAATACAAAAAATACTCTTAAAAATGGAGAAGTTGTCATAATTTGTGATTTTTCCGAAAATTATTCATTTGTTCTTCAAGATGCTGCCCAAAGTAGTTACTGGAATAATCAACAAGCTACTATTCATCCTTTTTGCATTTATTATTCAGAATCAGGTATAATTAAAAATTTAAGTTTGATCGTAATCTCTGAAGTTTTAAAACACGATACAATTGCGGTGCAAGTATTTATTTCAAAATTACTGACCTTTTTGCAAACAAAAATACAAGTAAAAAAAGCGATGTTTATGTCTGATGGAGCTGCATCCCAATATAAAAATTGCAAAAATTTTGCAAGTCTTTGTAAATTTAAAACGAAGTACAATATTGATGTTGAATGGCACTTTTTTGCAACTTCGCATGGCAAGGGACCATGTGACGCGATTGGTGGCACATTAAAACGAATGGCAAGGAACGCAAGTGTGGCTGTAGAACACGAACATCCAATCACAAGTGCAGCAGAGTTATATGCATGGGCTAACCAGAAGAGTAATGATTATTTAACAAAAATGTCATTTTGTTTTGTGTCACAAAATGAATACGAACAGGGGGCTGCAGAATGGAAAAGCATTTTTGAAAAGGCCAAAACGATCCCAGGTACAAGAAAATATCACTGTATTGTTCCGATTTCCGAAAATAAAATATCAGCGAAACTATTTTCGAATGACGAAGAACGCACCATTCATAACATATAAAAACATGCCAATCAAAAGTTCATCAAATAAAAATATATCCAACGAAAAGGTTTATATACAAATTATTATTATTAAAGACGATCGAAAGTTATATCTTACATTGATGCAAATAAAAACGCATGGGTATTTCATTTATTTATCTTATTTATCTTATAAGTTTAAAACCAATTTTCCAATAGTCTATTGGTGCAAGGGTAAATTGAAGGTAAGTACATGCATATCTTGCAAAACTTATCATATTTGATGGACAATCACGTATAACTTATGAAAAGGGCATATTTTCTACAAAAAATTGATTATGATGAAAGTAAATTTGAAATATCTCGAAAACTGTTACATATAGGAAGTTTATCAATATGAGCATTATCGTTTGAAATGATTTCTATAATTGTATACTGACATCAAACTGAGCATTTTACCGTAAATAATGAAAGTTTCAAAAATGCCTTAAAAGTTGCTCTTAAGTGGACCCTACACGATTGCTTTTATTGACAATAATCGTATTGTCAATACATTCAATATTGACGTCAATACATCGGTATTGACAATATTTCTGTATTCACATCATCAATATTTTTGTCAATAATACCCCTTCGCGTCAATATATTGATACGTGTGGGGTTTGCTTTAGAAAAACTTTTTTATTAAAAGTTTTTCCATCCTGGAGTTGTTTTCAAAACTTCTGCTTTCTATTCAAGTTTTTATTAAATAAATATAAAAAAAAACCAAAAATACGTTTTTTTTTTGTTATTTGAATTTTGAGGTTTCTTTTAAATTTTTTTTTGTAAAAAAACGAAAAAAAATTCCGTGTATATTTTTTTATAAAGCCTTATTAGTTTCCTACAGCTCATTCTTAGTAAAAATTTTTCTACAACCAACTGTTTTCGAACTACATTTTTTTTTAAGTATGTGTGCAAAAACACATAGGCCCTTTTCAAAAATTACCCTTGAGTCAAAAGGGTCTCCTCTCCCGCGGAAAATACACGCAGAAAAAACGCTCTGTAATGAATCAACAAAATATTTTGTTGTTTTTTAATACAATGCCTTGGTTTGTTTCTGTTTATAAAAAAGTTTTAAATTAATAGAGCGCTCCATTCACTTTAAATATATTAATTTGATTGAATTGCATCATTAATGTGATTGATTTAAATAAACGATATTTGGTTTGTAACAATTATATTTTTTTTTCAATCGAAATTGTTACTTTGATTGTTTCAACTGAATATTTTTTAAGTGCACGTTTCAAACTGTCAGTCTGTATCGGCATCGTTTGGCAAACGAAAAGAAGTTCCTCCTGCCTTTGCCTCCATTATTATTGCTCTTAAAATGTAAGCCATAATTTTATTAAATTGTGTAGATTCTTTCAAATTATTATTCATGTAATTACAATTTCAGCGGTGATGTGAAAAAAAACGCAGTAAAAACGCAATACCATAAAATTGTATTTGGTTCGTTAACGTTTTCATATTTGAATGATACGATTGAATTTGATTCCGACTCGAAGAATGCTTTTTATTTTTCTAAAAACTTGAATTGTCATAGAATAAATAGGGGAAAATAAAATTTATTGATTTAAATAAATTTGATTTTGATACAATAAAAAAATATGAATCGCTACAACTAAAATTATTCGTTGCTCTAAAAAATGCTGCAGGTTGATGCAAGTAAACATTTTTTTGAATCAATAAAAATCGATGTTTAATTCAATAAAGCTGGTGGCATTATTTCAATTCAATATTTTTATTAGATTACTCTATGGATTTTATTGATCTATATTCTATTCAAAATTTTGTTTGAAATGAATCGTGCTTTATTTGAATGAACTATGTTTTTTTCTGCGTGTACTTGGCCTACACAGCAAAAAAAGTTGTTGAATATTACATCGAAACTGCTGCAACCAGGTCAATCCATCGGTTGTGTAAAATCACATTGTACGATGTACATCGATTTTGCGAACAAAATTACATCCATTGATGTAATATTGTATCTGCGTTTTGCTATTACATGATTATTTCATGCATCAGCTTGAATTACGTTGATCGATATTACATTTTTTTTGCTGTGTATCATATTGAAAATATGTGCCATGTATCATCCAGATCGAAGATAGTCCAGTTTGGTGACTGACCGATTTGGCGTGGAATTGGTCAAAATACATTAGGCCCTGAAACAAAAATCCATTTTTCTGCGTGAACCTTTCAAATTATGCTTTGATAATTTTAATGGTTATGGTTATGGTAGTCAGTAAGTTCCATGGATGGTTTTGTATTGTCGGTCAACTTTACGTGGAATATATCGCGAATCGGTCGTCATTGGGCCGTATGAATAAAAATAGTTTTCTTTACTTTCCCGTGCTTTTATTACGGGAAAGTAAAGTAAACGCTTTTATTCACACGACCTATTAATTTACAGACAACCAACTGATTTTTAAGTACTTTCTATCAGGATTTTGAATTATTTCGTTTCTCCGTGTCCGTAATATTTTAACGGACTCTCCGACAACTCCGACAAAAATGTGTTTGAGACTTGAGCGAGTGCACTGTTCTGTTGACCGTGCAGAGGAATATTTTTGACGGACTGGCAAATTTTGTTTGCTACTTTTGTTCTTCTTTGACATCCTAGCGAGAGACGTCGGCGGTGGTGAATTTTCGTGGATTTTTTGTGGCCAAAAGACGCTGTTTTTCACATCAATTCCTACATTCTTAGTGATTAAAGTTCCTTCAGATCAGAGTTAAAAAGACAGCTCACAGTTTCACAATGGGAGATTGCGACGATACTGTGAAAAAGGTGAGAAAATTTAGATCGGAATCGAGCCCACTAGCGGAACCATTCAATGGCTGCTCTGTGAACGCTTTGCATGTATCGTATCGCTTTCTGAGTACTGCGTGGTTGAAAGTTTGTTGTAAAATTATTCGTTCAAAGCGTTACGCCGATCAAAGAGTTCAACATATTTCAAGCACTGGGTGCTGTATCTATCGAAATGTAATAATTCTAACTTGGCTTCTATGTTTTTTTTCTAGAGCCAACGCACCTTGACTCTGGGACAAGAAACTACGCAAAAAGTAAGGTTAATGTATGAGCATGATTGTATTTGTAGGGAGAACTATTGAACTTTAGCAAAACATACCAACATGCAGGTGGTGCAGTTGTTAATGCAATCAATTGATTTTTCTGTACAAACCTAATGAATTTTGCTTACACATGATGAGCACCACATGCTGCAAAACATGTTCTAACTTGTTTGTTCTATTTTAGGTTCAAGAATACAAAGACACGCTGATCAAAAAAGCCGAAGAACTTATCATCAAAGGATTCCCGGAAAAGATAGTGAAGTTGAATGATCTGCTTGCCACTCCCGAATTCGCCGAGAGGAACTTCACCGATGTCTACCAGGTACGTTTGGATTTTGATTTGGGTCAGTGGGTTTTGCTATCCCTTTTGTCTACTATAATACCTTCTTTTCTTTTCAGGATCTTAACATTCCAGTGCCGGATCCGATTGACCTCAACAATACCGAGGGCGAAAAAGTCGATTCCGAGGAGCCCGCTGCCAAGCGTGCCCGTGTTGATTTGTCCTCGGTAAGTGGCACAAAGGTAATGGCCCTACCGAACGGTCGAGTTCAGTGCAACACACCGATCTGTGACCTGATCAAAGTGGTCAAACCGGTTATCCGGGCTCTGGTTGAAGATTCAAACCTGCTGAAGATGTGGATTTCCTTCATGATTCCTAAAATTGAGGACGGAAACAACTTCGGAGTGTCCATCCAGGAAGATACTCTCGCCGAGATTCAGTCAGTCGAAACTGAAGCCGCTGCATTCTTCGATCAAATCTCCAGATACTTTGTATCGCGAGCGAAGGTCGTCTCCAAAGTGGCCAAGTATCCGCACATTGATGACTACCGCCGTGCAGTTCAGGTAAATCAAACTATTTTCTTGAAACCCCTGTTCTCCTTATTACCATCCATTTTCTACAGGAACTGGACGAGAAAGAATTCCTCAGCCTATGGCTCGTTTTAAGCGAGGTGCGAAATCGCTACTGTTCGCTTCACGATATCGTCATTAAGAATATGGAAAAGTTGAAAAAGCCACGATCGTCCAATGCCGAAAGTTTGTACTAAAGGGATGAGAAGGCTGTTGCTACTACTGCTACCATTGTTGCAGTAAATTACCAGAATCGACAAGCGACCATCATACATTTCTCGTTACTTACCCAGCACATTCGTGCGCTAGCAACTCAACAACAGCAAAAAGGCAACAGTTTAAGCGGCAAAAGTAAGAAACAATACGTGTTAGCTACCTACCTATTTTCCAGACACTGATCGACTCCGAGGACAAATCCAAAAGTATGCTATATTCCGCGGAAACAAATCTATCAGGCTATTCATAATATAGTTATGTTACTTTTTCTGCACTGCAAAATCCAACAATCTTTATTTTAAGTCAAACAGTTGAAACATGTATCGATTGAAAGTGAGGCGATTTGTCTGCGAAACACTGTGTTTTGGATTTTTAATTTCATGATTAAACCTGATTCCCACACAAAATGGTATCTAATATACATTTTTATAGAGGTATCACACCAAAATGCTAAACGCACAGACAAACAGACATAATACATAGAATATTTATCACTGAAAAACACTACCGCCATCTGTTGAGCGCACTATCATGTCGAATCGAAACTGAAGCACGCTCGACAGAAGGCACTAGTTTTAAGCAGTTGGCTATGTACGCCACAGGTGGCGATGCTACCAACCAAGAAAAGTTGGAATTAACCGTTAATTGCTTATTCAATGAAAAATATGTGGGTGTTATGTCTGTTTGTCTGAGCTAAATGGTTATCCGCGTCTGTCCCTAGTTGATAATACATCACAGCCTTGAACAGATCTAGTGTAGTAATGGTAGATGTGCTCGTTTTAGATCCAATAAGGGTCCGTTCAAATATACGTAACGTAAAAATTGCATCCTCTTATAATAAATCGTAACATTCCGTCACCCCCATCCCTAGCCTAATAAAAAAAAAGTAGAAGGGTCTGTGCTTAGGGGCACGAACGGAAGCTTGACGTTGGACCGCTAGTGGACGGAACAAATATGTTGATCGTTTAGTAATTAACTCTTTCCGTTTTTGTATTGATGGGCCTGAAAAGGGTCGATTGTTTTTTTCAAATGGTGGCCACACCAGTGCAACATAGTGCTAGTCGATGCCGACCGGATAACGGCGGCCTAGTCATGCTTCCTATTGCGGGAAGCCTTTCCTCCGGTCGATGTGGGTGTTTTCGTCGTCGTATGGACCCCTTTCTAAGCACCTAGTTGCTGGGCAAGCCACGGCAACCGTCTGGGGTGGGCGTAACATGTGCCTCTTTTGATGATAGTTGTGGTTAAGGGTCGTTACAATGGAGTCGCCTGGAAAAACTTCAACTTACCTTTTTCTGATTACTGGATGAGACAACAAAGCAAACTATTCGAACAATAAGAACAATAGCAATACAAAACAATTAAAAGAACTTTCAAGTAATTAATTAAAGCTAAATTTTAGGTTGTACTTCATGAAGTTTTATTCAGAGTGCAGTGATAAAAGCAAAAAGGGGTTTTAGTCTAGGGTTTTAGCAACCGGTGGAAACCAACGATTTAAAATTGGCTCACTACTTGACTAGCCTATTGGTCCCAAGCAAATCGATTAACGTATCCCATTTTAGTCGAAATTCTAATTCTATGAAAGTTTGACAGATAAAATGAGGGGTTCGTGGATTTTCCAATGTTTCGAGGGGTGCATCGATTAGCTTGGGACCGAAGATAGTACTAGAGCTGAGTCAAAAAGTTGAGTACGTTTCTTCGGGACCTGCTGGTCTTAGAGTTACCTCTATGGTTTTAGTACTTGCACATTTTTTTTTCACTGCATTTCACGCTAACGTTGCGGCCGTGATGCACTCGTTGGTCGACATTGATCAATAGGCTCACGTAGCAGCCATCGGCAGGGTGTCCATCGACGAACGCAGCTGTGCAGGGCTTCTTCACGACGGGTGGAATCCAGATGTGGCGGCAAATTGGCCTATTTGTAACGGTGGCCAGCAGCGCTTCAGCTCACTTTAGCCCGGGGAGTGATACCAGGTGTGCGCACAAACTACCACGAGTGTCTAACGGTAAGTCGAGTGAGGTTTTTTACGTATTTGGGACGGTCTTCACAAATATCCAACGGTTCGCTAATGTTCAAATAGCGTTTTACTGTGTCAATCACTGACCGTCCATGTACTTGCGTCGTACCAGCACCGACGAACTGACATGCCACTGGAGCATTACGTTTGCCCGCAATTCGATTTGTCAAATGAGCGATTCGATCTATCAAACGGGCGATCAGATCTATCAAACGAGATGAGGCACAAACAAAGTCAATATCAAGCAAATTATCCACGGCCCATACACATTTTTGAAATTTTGTATGGACAATTGTCTGCGTAGGAGCCCCCCCGCTCAAGAATCCCAAAAATGTGTCTACGTAGTTAATGAACAGCCCCTAATAAATTGGGTGAAATTATACTCATCAGTGGGTATTTTAAAGTTAGCGTGTGCTGTGCATTTGTCGAACAAAACGTCAACATTGTGAGTTTGATCTAAGAGGAAGAGGAAGCCAGAAATAAAGACTTCAGAAAATTTCGGGAACGATACAGTCGCAAAACAAGTCGAAATGACACTATGGAGGACATTGGAGGATGGACATTTTAAACCAGCAGTTTTAAGTCGCCTAGTAATCTAATCATGCATCTATTGCATTCATCAAAAACATTTTATCATGTTCTACACACAAAGCAAAATTTCAACAAATTTGAAATAATTTACCATATACAATATTCAAATGATGTTATATGAAAATGCCTGCAGTTGCCTGTTGAACAGTGGTCGTTACTTTACTCAACAAGGTCTACACTAATCATTGAAAAAAAAATTGGCTGCTACTTTTTGCTATATTTTGAGTAATTGACATTTTTATGCATCACTTTTTTGAGACATTTATGTTAATAACTATAGTATAAAGCATGGTATATAAAATAATGGGTATTTATTGGATGAGTCAAACCATTTTGTTAATTATCAGAGTATAAAACTTATAAATTTGACGTATATAGGTGAAAAAAAGGAAAAACGCAATTTTAGAGGTTAGTTTTCCTAATTGCCCATTATCTCGCTTAATGTGAGTCATAGAGTATTGATGTCTTCGACAACATTTCTCTACACTTCAAATTACACAACTTTGCCATAAAAACCATTCGGCTAGGATGCTCCGTTCAAAAGGTAGACTCGAGCGCCACCTGTGTGGCGTAAAAATTAACTAATATGAAACTTTCAAAAGATGGCACTTTTAGTATTGATCAACTTTGTAGAACATTGTATTGCTGTAGAAAGCAAACCAACGGTGCTAGAGGTTTTGGCCACACGAATGGCTTCGCTGCCCCACTGTGCGCCACCACTGGCAAAAAGAGATGATCGCCGACCGCTCAAGTACCAACGATGTATTTGAAACAGTTCTACCGATTTTTACCGCATTTCAGTTGTTATTCGAAGGAAGGCATCCAGTTGTAGGTTTGGAAATTGCAGCTATTGTTTACCCCTACCATGATATGTGCTCCTGTCATCGTCGAGATGATCATGTCATCATCTGACGAGATCGTCAAGCATCTTCATAATATCGGAGTTTCTTACCTGATCGATTTGGTATGTTGAGATGAATTATTCAAAACAAAATAATAATACACTTTCTCCCCGCCCCTTCACTCATATCAATAGAAGTAAAGTTTCAAACTGAAATAGAAGTAAAGTTTCAGATGAATTATTCAAAAATAATAGCTAAATCTCACAGGCCTTAAAGAGCGGGGAGGAGCTTACTATAAACAGTTTTTGTATCGAAAATTGTTGTAGTGTAAATATGTAATATTCACTTGTCCGTACAGTTTTGCTAGTGAGGTGATGTTGTTTGAATTATTAACAGTTGGAACATTTTTAAATTTCAATGTAAAGCTTTTAAATATTAAACTGCCATTAGGGCCACACCCATATAGAAAACACAGAAGGAAAAAACAAAAACTGTCTTCACGAGTTTCGTCCCAGATACAGGTACAGTCAGATTTCACTCGTTGGGCTATCTTTAAGTGGGCTACGTTTTAGTTGGGCTGATGCTAATTTCTGACTTTATCAAGAAATCCAGCCGAGCCCCAGTTCAACAGCAATATTTGCTTCAGGATCGAACAGCATCGAAAAGAGTACCCTGAGAAACTGCAGAATATATTAAACTGAAATATAATCATTACAATCCAATGACTTTTGTGTGAATATGTCTGACAGTACACCAAAAGAATAGGGAAGGGATGGGGGTACTCACTTTAAAACTGCTCTTATGAGATTGAGCAAACGTTTTTGAATAACCCATCCGAATAACTCGAGATATGGGAAACTCCGAAGTTATTTCAGTCTTTATCTTTACTTTCATTGATATAATTGAGCGGGCGGAAGGGATACAGTAAGCCAACAACGCCGACTTACTTGCGCTTTTGGGCATATAGTCTAGATACTGGCCCAACACTGAGCTGTCAGACGATATCTAGAACAGAAAGAATAATAATAAGAAGAAGAACTAAACTTATTAAATGGAGCGAATGTTATTGAATACATCTGAACATACGAACTTGACAAGATGAGAAACACCGAAGTTATTTCAGTTTGCAGCTTTACTTCCATTTATATGAGTGAAGAGTGTGGGGGTATAGTAAGCCGGGGAGGGGCTTACTCTAACTTACTCTCTAGAAGGAGGGGGCTCCCCTCTAACTATGCCTATGAGATGAGAAATTGATTTTGAATAATTTATCTGAACATACCAAACCGATAAGATAATCAACTTCAGTTTGGAGTCTGACTTTCATTGGTGCATCGGCGGTGTTGGCAGGAAAAGTGATTTTTGGCATTTAATTCGAAATATTGATCTTTGAATACCTATAACTTTTTTTAGAGACATTCTAGCACCGTACATCCTTGGGCAAAATTGTTAGGCACTTCCTGGACTATACTTTTACATGATTAGATGCATGGTTCAAAAGTGTGGTCGCTAGGAATAAAGATTGTACAATTTGCTGTCAGAAAAACATATGAGCTTTTCTCATGGCAACTCTACAGCTTTTCGATTTAGCTACATGGGTCTCCCCCAAGGCTCATGTTTAAGCCCCCTTTTGTACAATTTCTACGTTAGAGAAATTGACAATTGTCTTAGTGACAATTGCACGTTGAGACAACTTGCAGATGATGGTGTAGTGTCTATCACAGGGCCAAAAGAGGTTGACCTGCAAGGACCCTTACAGGATACCTTGGACAATTTGTCTACTTGGGCTATTCAGCTAGGTATCGAATTCTCCACGGAGAAAACTGAATTGGTCGTTTTTTCTAGGAAGCATAGTCCAGCACAACCGAAGCTTCAACTTTTGGGTAAACCGATCACTCATTCCATGTCTTTTAAATATCTCGGGGTCTGGTTCGATTCCAAATGCACCTGGAGATCCCACATTGAGTATCTGAGACGAAAATGCCAACTAAGGATCAATTTCTTTCGATC